ATTTTCCTTTGTTGCCTTTGACCTTGACTAGTTCTCTGACTGTGCTGTACTAGAGTTCAATTTTTTTTTTTAAGGAATTTTGATAGGAAGAACGAATTTCCATATATGTAAAAACCATGCAAAAGAATCCACCCAAGTCACCCAAAGGAGATTATCAAAAAGCCATCAAATTGGTCGAAGTATAAGAAAGGGACCAACTTATTAAATCAGAGAGGACATCAATCAGAAGAGTTGAAAACTCTAGTGCCTCAAGAATTCTCCCAAATATTTTTCGAGCCTTGGAGTAATTTCTCATTTCTTTCGATTTTAAAATCTAGAGAGTTGCAATGTATTAGCTTTTGTTTTATATGGATGCTTGACGAGAGAGGACATAAACTCTCAAACATTGATAGGCCAAACAAAGGTCCAATTGAAGACATCAAGGTTTTTCTCCCAAATGTGCTTAACCTCCGGAAAAGTCAAGAATAAATTATTAGTATACTCACAAGCAGAATTGCACCAAACACATCAAGCCGGGAACAAAAAAGCATGCGGCGATTTGTCTTTTGCACTCTCTACCAAGTTTTGATTTTGCTGCTGGGAAAATGGACCAAACAAAAACTTTAACGTTCCTCAATCACCTAGCTTCTGTAGCACCCTAACAGAGGATCTTACGTTTAGGTCCTTACTATTACATATATTATGGACAGGGATGCAGCCTTTTGTAAATTTATGTTGTACATTAACTTTTTGTCTGATCTTCACTGTAACGTGGTTAATGGTGTTATACGTCTAAGATGCAACCTTTATGGTGCAGGTGACGAAATGGATAACATTTTCAGATAGCTTTCCTGTAGATTCTAAGGCATGCTTTGAGGTTCTTAAACAATTAAATGAAGAATTAGTTCAAAAGTCTGTACTTCTGGGTAATGGATTGAAGCCTTCTGAAGCTGATGTAATTGTGTTTTCAATACTACACGCTGCCGTGGTAGGCATTATTGCTTTTCATGACAAGTTGTCCATATGTAAAATCATTATTTTCTTCCAAGAATGTTACCATTTCTTCTTTTAATGGTTACACTATTTTTATTTTCTGTTTTCATGCTTGTATGGCAGAGAACCCAAGGACTAGTTTGGTGTTGCTATATGATTTGAAAAGTATATTTTAGATTTAACAAAGTTGAAATTCTAATGAGTTCTGACATGATTGATCACTGCTAGATTGGCCTTTCGAAGGCAGAGAAGGAAAAGTTGCCACACGTTTTAAGATGGATAGATTATATCCAGGTAGTCCTACTTCTTTAATGCTGTTAACTACTTACTAATTGCATGCGGAGCTTATTTCTGATTTTGATTTTTGGTTTAATCCTGTACATGCAAATATGGTTATTATATTAGTTTTTTCAGTTTTTTTGTTTACACTGTGAGTTCATTTTTTTTTCTGGATTAAATAATATTCTGTTTTAGTTCAATGACTATCTAATTAGTACTCATGCCAATTTGTGTTTTTAACAGAACAAAGAGAATTTCGAGGAGTTATTTCAAAAGATATTGCTAGAGAAATCCGATTTTGATCCTCCAGTAAGTGCTCAATTAATTCTTTTGCATTTGATAGAGGTCTGCCTTGAAAAAAGCAAGAGCGTTGAGTTCCCTGAAGAGTATATGGTTTTCTGAAACTATTATATCATTTATCATTAGAAAAATCTAAGTTATACCTTATTCCCTTGTATGACCTTGGAACAATTTGACTTTGAAGCTTGACCATTCATTTTTCATTTTTTTTTAATCTATTCTTCTCTATTATCCTTGGGGTTCTCTACTGTGTTGTCATTCTTCTTTGATTTTCCATGTTTGGCGTGGTTAACTTCAAACTGCCACTTGCTTTTCATATTTGGGGTGCACCTTGCCATTGAGTTGCATATGTTCTTGTTGATTTCATTGTGCTTCCGCCCTGTTTTTTTGGGTTTGTTAATTTCTGGCTTAGCTGAAGCAGCCAAATTTGTTAAGGTTATCGTATATGTCTCTTGATTTTTATTTATTTTTTAAAAGGAAACTAAAGGCTGGATTGATTATTTCAAGTTTCAGACAAATTCATGGAGTTTGTTCCCCAAGAATTGTGCAGTTTAACTACCTGATGGTTAATAACTTAATACTTACATTTTGAAAAGTTGCGTTGTATGAGCAAATTAAAAGTTTTCTTAATTAAAGTTGCAGGGAACCAAAGTTGTTGCTAACAATGTGGATGAAAATTCAAATGCCAAGAAGTCTTTGCAAAGCACCAAGGTTCCAGATAAGCCTAAAGTAAACACAGACGCTAAGAAAGCTGATGCCGGGGTAAAGCCTAATTTTTCTTTATTGGCGTACACTATGTATTTTGATACTATAAACTGTTCAGAGAATGTTGCAGAGACCCTTTTTACAGGGAAATTGTATTTTATTCTATTTTTTTTACCTTTGAATAGATTGCAGAAAATTCTCTTATCTTGTGAGGGAATATTAATTCATGGAATGGAATTATTTCAAAATTTGGACAGAATTGGTGCTTTGATGTGGTGAAAGAAAACGTTTTATAGCTGCTGCATGGCCACAGTTTTTAAAAAAATAAAGCCATCTTTTGTAAACTTTGGTTGGAGAGGAATCAGTGAATCTTCTTCAACAATAATAGTAGGAGCTGGGGTGATGTTTTTGACTTGGCACTGGTTTTGTTCTAAACGGTGTACACTTTCGAATTCTTTTGAAAATTATACCCCCCTTTATAATTAATTCTAATTGGAGCAGATTTTCAGCTCCTTGTGAGGTATTTTGATATAGATCTTTTGGTTTCTTGACTTCAAATTTTCAATTTTCATTGACTCAGTGGAAAGTTTGTTTTATAAAAAACAAGCGCTTATAATTAGCCATTAGGATTTCAGTAGTCTTCCAAACCAATGGAATCTTTGAGAGAACTATGTATTTGGAAATGACGTTTCAATTCCAACTTATAACGTTTGTAGCCACTTTAAATTTGAAAGTGTTATTGTCCAAGGTTGGACCACCATGGGGAACTTTTATGTCTGATTTCCACTATGTAGAAAATGGATGCAGTGTCCATGCGGTTAGTCTTATTCTTACCATGATCTCCTGACCAGTAGTCTAATGATAACTATTTTGGCATTTACGTTATTTAATTATTGTTTTTTTCTTTTAATTTTTACATTTTTTTAGATGATCGATATATTGATGTTATAATGAGAAATATTTTTTTGATTCCATATATTACATACACATAGTTGCTATAGAATGTTCTATTTTAGTATTCAATGTAGGTGACTTGTCACGTGTTTGATTTCTTTAGTTGACTATAAGTACCTCTTTTTTTTTTTCATTTTTCTTTACCCCACTTTTTCCTCATTATCTCATTTGCACTTCACACATTAACATATATATATATTTTTAATTTTGTGGAACTGTTAGAAAAAAGAGAAGGAAAAAAAAGAAGCTGCACCGGAAAAGAAAAAACCAGTTGAGACAGAAACAACCGATAAAGAAAAGGAAGTTAGTGTTAGTTTGTTGAATATACGAGTTGGTCTTATTCGTAAAGCATGGAAACATCCATCTGCTGACAGGTATGATCAGCAACCTTCTTTCCAATAACTGTTTTCTGCAGTAGCACTATTTATATTTCCCTACTGAAATTTCATTATTCTCTTTGGATTTTAAATTTGCATCAATCGTATTGTAATTATGATGTGATGCAGTTTGCTGGTTGAGGAGATAGATGTTGGAGAGCCCAAACTGCGGCAGGTTGTCAGTGGTCTGGCAAAGTACTGTAGTCCAGAGGAGTTGACGGTATGGTTATTACGTGTTGGTCACAAGGAACTTGTGATGAATCGCCCGTGCATACTGAGTTGAAAGTCTGATAAATTATTCTGTTGGTCTGTGCAGAACCGCGGTGTTGTTCTTATTACTAATGTAAAACCTGGGAAGCTACGAGATGTGATGTCAGAGGGATTGGTATTTTCTCTTCGCACTGTTGCACAGATCACATTTGTTTACTTTTACCTTCTTTAGAGGCTCCTGTAGTTTAGTGTAAAGTACAGATCATTACGAGCTTCAAAATTTTTTCAATTTTTCATGTGAATACATTTTCTAATCTTAACACTAGATCTCTGATTCAGGTTTCGATTTTCCTCGTTCCATTAATTTTTTCTTTTACATTTTTTTAATGAGGACACTTTCAGTTTGGATTTTTCATATGTTGTATGGAAGTTGAGTCGACATTCATATGTATGCATGGATTCATGAACCTCTCAGGTGTTATGTGCATCTAATGAAGATCACACGGTTGTTGAGCCTCTGCTTCCGCCAGAAGGAGCCAAAATTGGTGAACAAATTTCATTTTCTGGGTACGTTTTTCATAGATTACTCAATTTTAACTGCATTGCCTGGCACCGTTATGAATTCTTGGGCAGATTAGTTGGATATAGGCAATATCCAAGAAGAAGATAGATCTATCACTTTGTTTCCTTTATTGTTTTATACTTAAATCTCTATTTGAAATGGGTCTCTCCTGACTCCTATGTGGTATATTCATTATCTTGTAATTTGATTTAGGGTCGACGGAAAGCCAGAAGATGTTCTTAACCCAAAAAAGAAACAACTGGAGAAGATAACACCGGTATGTGCACTCGTCCCCCCTATTATGTTTTGGATAAGGGAAAATGGGTTGTATGTTAATAGCAAAAAATATGAATTAGGTTCAAAATTTTAGGAGGATGCAAAAACATTTTTAAATCCGTGCTTTTCTTTTTCTTTGCTCATAAATATATACACGTAAGAAGGACGATCCAATGGTTTCCGGATTACAATATGAAAGTCTGGCCATTTTTGGTCTCTCCTAGCTGCAATATATGAACTCAAAATTCTTCATTTTGCACTTGTAACACACAAATGGTTGTTATTTTGATGGATGCAGCATCTTTTCACCGACGACAAAGGCGTGGCAACGTTCAAAGGAATTCCGTTCATGACATCTTCGGGACCGTGCACCTCATCCATCTCCAAGGCAAGTATCAAATGATAGTAACATGGCAACCCAGAGAAGAGAAGCTCACTGCCAGAAGGATCCCCTAACACTGTATGTTATTACTTGGGCAAACCAAAGAGACTCAGTTTTGAAGAGATGAGGCAGTGATTCATCAAATACAACTTCACTATTTCAGGTAAATGTATTGTTTTGGTTTTCATGCTCTTAAATTTGACTTCATTTTTTTTTTTAATTTGAAGTTATGATACTTAGAAGTCACATTCAGCTATGTTCTTATGATGTAAAAGGTTTTGAATATGTTCACCTTTTTTTTTTTCAAAAAAGTTTTGTTTCTCACCTGTGAATTATTAATTAATGTAATTTTAATTTCAGTTAGTGACTGATAGTAAATAACTGAGTGGTATTGATTTATTCTTTAATATCTAGTTAATTGATGCTATAAGGACATGTTACCTTTACAAACCCATGAATCTTCAGTTGGAAAATAATTGGCCTCATTGGTTACCAATCTTTCAATCTTATTCTTTTCGCTATTAAATGTTTGGCAATTAAGAGAAAGAAAAGTAAAAATTCACTTTTTTTAACGAGTTGTGAATTTACCCAAAATTTTTTATTCTATAAAATTTGAGAAATATGATGTTAATTTTAGAAATATTAACTTAAATGTAATAACTACAAGATTGTTGCAGACATAACTTATATACTAATTAATATTCAATTATTACATTTAAGGCAATATTTTAAATGTTATTATAGTTTTCAAAGTTTATAGAATTTAAAATTTGAGTTAAATTGTAATAATGAGACTTGATTGTATCAATTCTTACAAGTTGAGGATGGTTTGTGCAATTCCTAATCTATAACTCATGATGCTATTACAGTTGAGTTTAATTGCAAAAATTAAAAATTCATAAGTGTGACGCCATTATACAATATTACACATTTTCAAACAACGTCTCTAGATATTTCCATGGTATTAATATTTGTCAGTATGTTGATATTTCTATGTATCTATAGATTCAACATCAACATTTCCATCGTATTACAAAAAAAAAGGCAAAATATGAAAAAAAAAATCAATAAAATGTAACTAATATATTCATATTAATTATTTTTTAACTTATTTAGAAATAGAAAAATATTTATTTGTTAATTTAAATATTTTTATGATTTTTTCGTTTCTCTAATTTTTACAGAAATATCTATCGACCTGGATCCAAACACATATTTATTATATTCAAGGATTTAAAATTTAGATATTTACCCCTAAATATTTAATATTCGTATCTACAAACAAAATTCACCATTTTTAAAAGTTAAAACTCAAAAAGAATAAAACAACCTGCTCTGCCGTTTTTTCCTCCTTTTGAAAGTAAACACAACCATGTGTCTAACTTATTACTTATCTGACATGTTCTTGGTACAACAGACAATGTAATTCTCAAATTTGGCTCATTTGATAACATTTGGTAACCGTTTTTATTTTTTTATTTTTCAATAAACAAAAATAAAAAGTATGATGGTCACCTACCTTAAGAATTAATAATTTTTTTCCGGTACTAAATGTTGTAAGGTCAAACAGTTGTCTATAAGATTAGTTGAGGTGTGTGTAAACTGGCTCGGACACAGATATCAAAAAAAAATAATAATAAACAAAATAGAATAAAACAAAAATAAAAACAGATAATTTTTTTTTTCCCAATAAGAAACAATAATTGTTTCTCGTTTTTTAGTTATTATTTTTCTTTTTTCTGAACGGTTCGAGAATGTGAACCCAACCTAGAGTTGAAATGGAATTTTCTATATGAGAGTTAATAGTATTTTAAACAATTTTAGTTCCACAGTAAAAGTAATAGTAAATAGTAATTATCTTTAGAATATCTTCGAGTTTGAGTAAGAGATGGATAAAATTAAAAGGACAAATTTTAAATCAAGTTTACATATTACTTGTCAAATTTGATGGCAACAAAAGTTTTATATAATGAGCAATCAAGTTCGAATAAACAGAAATATTTTCATTTTAAAAATAAAGTTCAAGAAATTAAAATGAAATTTAACCCTTTTCAAATATTCGAGACAATTTTTTTTTCAAATTATATATGTGAAACCAACTTATATATTTAGTAGCGAATCCGAGTATAGCTAAGTGGATAAAGCATTTATTACAATTCGAGAAATTTTTGATAATACGAGAGTATACCATTTCTATTCACTGTCTGTCATGTCAGTATTGCAAAATGATATGTAGTGCACCAACATTAAAAAAAGATTATTTAGAAAAAAAATCATAGTGTGAAGAAATGCAGTATCAAGTATCTAGTCCGTTCTATTGTAATTTTTTCCCGTGACTAGCTAACGGCGCTGTAGTATAATAAAATAATATTATTAAAAGATAAATACTTTTTTCCCCAAAATATAAAATCGAACCAACCTTTTTAACAAGTCATTAGGGATGGCAACGAGGCGGGGATGTCGAAATTTTGGGGGCGAAGACGGGACGGGGATTCCCGGTTATAAAGATATTTTTTTAATTTTAATTAATTTTTGTTATTATTAGTATAAAAAGTGAACAAAAAGTTGGCAAATGAGATGTTAGCTTGAGTTTTTTTTTAATTAAAAAGTATTTATAGAATTAATATGTATTAATATTATTATATAAAAAATAGAAAAAGTAATAAAAATTAAACAGGGCAGGGTTGGGGACGGGGATGGGGTAGGGAGACCGATCCCCGTCCCCGCCAAGGAACCCGATTGGGATCCCCCGTTTGACCCCGTCTCCAATCAAATTGAAAAATCCCCGATCCGATCGGGTCGATTATCCGTGGGGATCGAATCCCGCATATATTTTTGCCATCCCTACAAGTCATCCAACCTCTTGCATGAACACAATTTTTTAATGTGATTAAATCAATTGAAACTAATAGATTAGGTATAATTTTAATTTATAGTGAATCAAAATATTTATTAAGTTTCAGTCACTATTATATTAAAATTTGTTACTAAGATTTATGCAGGGTTTTAATTTAGTTTCCATGATTTTAAACGTTTTGACTTTGTCCACCGTAGTCTAGATAAATCTCCTAAAACCGTCACGTCCATAGATGTAATATTTTTCTTACTTGACAGTTTTTTAGATGTAACATAGACTAGAGAGAGTATACGAGCTGTCATTCTATATTAGGTGTATCTAAATAGTAAAAAGATCGATTATATTAATTAGGTTGGTTGTACGAGAGTCTAGACGTACGATATATTTAATAAACTAACAAGTAATAATTTAATACTAAGTTATACAAACAGAGGTGGAATGAACAAGGAAATAGGCCATCGATTTGTATTGAAAATATTACACATGAAAGTTAGAAACGTAAAATATTATCCATCGTTTTAAAAACAGAATAGATCAACTAGATAAAATAACAACACATGCATCAAAATCGCAATAAATTTTGAACTTTTGTTTTGTGTCTTTTTTTCTTCTCCACCCCAATTCATATATTTAATCCCTTTTCACATATCATCCCAACTTTTCAGTTTTTCAAAAATCCCAAAATAAAATATATTTAATTGTGTTTTATATTTGGTTGACTGAAATGAAAAGATTGTTTGGGTACAGGAATAGGGTACTCCGTCCTAGATTCCCATTAGCCTTAGCTGTTAAGGTTTGACTTTTGGAAAACTTTACACAAACACAGCTCTGCCATATCTTAAATCAAACAAAATCCAAAGTAGAGCCTCTTTGATTGGATTTTAGATTCTTCACTTCATTTTCACTCTGATTTCATCACCTCTCAA